CGGTACAATTTGGTACAAAACTAGTACAATGCAGTACAATTTCGATTATTTTAATTTTATTAAAGTGTGGGGCTAACTTCATACACATAAGAAAATCGTGAACTCATCATGAGTCACGAACGAAAAATCACAAAATACAAAAAATTAATTCGTGTTATGATCATTACATTCTGATATAATGCTAATAAAAAAACTCTGATAAATGAAATTACTGTCAATCAATTTCTTGGAGCTAAACGAAGCTTATAGCTGTTTTTCAAACGGCTGTTTTAATAAAACGATAAAATTTTAAAAATAATTATACTACAAAATCATAATTAAATTCTACAGAAATCAACTATCTATTAATATAAACATTTAATAAATATCTGATAAATAAAATATCAAATTTTGAGAAAACTGTGCTTATATTAAAAAAATGTTATAATAAATCGATAACATTTTAAAAATTTATAATTGAAATAAACAAAATTTAATTATTCGTAAGTTAAAAAAGAAAAATCTAATTATTACATACTTTATCTTGAGAAAGAGAATGCGATTACTTAATTAATAATTTAACAACCAAACGTATAGATTGTAAGCATTCGCGGAATAATATTGAATAATTCAGGAACTGGAATATATAACCCATTAAGTTAATAATTAGCTCGGCTCTTCAATGCATACAACCAAATAAGTTAATAATTTATAGAATCCCTGAGAATAAAACCACTGATAATAAAATCGAATTAAAATAAAATTGCTTGAAATAAATCGACTAATCTAATAATCTAAAAGTTAGTGTAAAACTTAACCATTTCACAAAAATCAATGGCTTAATAAAAAAATCAAATAACCTAATAAAAGTAGGAACAGAAATCTGCTGCAATTATATGCAGCAAAGTAATTACTTTTTTAAAACTAAATCAACAAAAACGCTGAAATTTTACGCCAAAGGAAACGCTAAACGTTCATTTCGGGAATTAAAAAATTGCGCAAATGCAATTACAAAACAGATGAAAATGATTTCAATATTTAATAACCTAAAGCTATAACACGCACTTGTTTATACATTGTATTGTAAAGTTTCAAATAATTATTAATATAATTATTAATACAATAATAGATTTTACTAATGTAAAAAACCAACAAACAAGATATCATTTTCAATGATGAATGATCTATTTTATAGTCATTTTATATCACGCACATAAAACTCACATTTTAAACAAGGAAAAAATAAAAACTTCTCCAAGTTCGCGTTTTAACTTCAAATTAGCTCCTTATATGCTCTTTTACTAATATATGACTTGATTTTACATCTCTCCCTTCAATCTAATAACGATCTGACATTTCCCGCTATTCACAATCATGCGCGTGTCAATGTTCGCTCTCTTGAGCTTCCCTACGACGTGAATACGCAGAACAAATATACCGTTTGACACCTGGAAACGCCGTACCCCAGCTTGGCACTCGGTAAAGCCCCACTTTGTCCCCGAGGATAATAAAGTTCTTGCACGAGAACGCGAAGGATCCTCCAGAAAGTCCTCGCGAGGGTATTCCTTTGTTCGTTGCTTTGTGGTTACTCGACAAGGACGAAGAGGGGCGGCCAAAGCTTGTCAACCACTCGCGCCAACCCTTCCCCCCGTAATTCCGCCGCGCCCAGTTGCCAAGCAGCCCTTTCCCTCTTCCACTCTCTCGCTCACTATCTCTCTTTCTCTCTCACACTCTTCGCGGCTTCCACGTTATTCCACTTTGCGAGAAACGCTCCTCGATTTATCGCGGAATAAACAAGCGTACTCTGCCCTCCTGTTTCCCCCGCGACGCGATTTACGCCCTGTAATTCGCGTTAAAACCCGGGGACTGTCGCGCGACCTTCGAAGATATAACGCCGCTTGTAATTCGTAGGAAAATAGAGCCGGTGGGCTTGAAGAGGGTCTTAAACTCTAAGCTGAACGTAAGCGACGCTCTCTAATTTACCGAGAGATCTAAAATTCTGCGAATTTAGAAGTCCCGATATTTTTTCCAGGTTTCTTTCTTTTTTCAATGATTGAAAACAGCACGAAAGAATAGGTAAGTAAGTCTGCGAAGCGTCTATTACGCGCTTTAAAGTTTCGAAAATTACAAATTAAATGACAGAAGAAAATTCTATTATCGAAAATAAAATCTTGTGATAACATAAATCACACATTTACTTTACAAAATACTGTTAAAAATACACAAAGATGCAGAACACAGTAGATAAACTAAAAATAAATAAAACAAGTGAGTCGTAAAATCAAAATGTTTCGCTGTAGCCCTTCGAACATAAAAAGATCTGCACGCGACGAGCTTCAACTATGTCGCAACGATTTTATTGCCTGCTTTACGGCTTTACCGTTGAACTGCCCCGAGTTTTACGAATATTCCTAGAAAAGAGTATTGTCTAGTACAACACCATTTGTCCAACAAATACATTTCATAGACCAAACTCGTTGCGATAGTCCTAAAGAAAGAAATTCTGAGACAAAAGTCCTGAATTTGCAATATTTAATGCAAAAAGGCTTTTCTAAGTTCACTCGTTCATTATTTCAAAATAATTATTCTGTATATTCTCACAAAATATTTCAAAGTTATTCTGAAACACCATGTGTCGCAGTAGAAAAATAGATATCTTCCTTTAATAAATATTATATAAATGAAATATAAATATTTCATTAACAGAAAATTTAACACTACGTTAAAAGTTATATTTGCACGTAACATTTTCACATGCTTGTTTTCATCATTTCCCGCTCCAAAATGTGAGAAAAAAATATTCCGAAGATAAATTACAAATTTTTTTTCCAAAGGAAAGACTTGGCGAGAGCTTGATTTCGCTTTTCCCCGGCGTTCCTTCGCGAAATATATATCTCGTGGTGGAATATGCGTCTTATTTTCGCGTTAGACGAGCTCTTAATGTAAAAGCGCCCGCGTAAAGGGATTCCGGCGTCGCGAGCGCGAAATAAAGATTTCGCACGAACGAACGAACGAGGAAACGAACGAAACGATGGAATCCGGATCCGCGAAACTTTCCGCGACTACGAGAGACGAAGAAAGAGCAAAGTTTCCGCGCTTTCCGTCTGAGCGCGCGGAGATTTACAAGTCACGTAGCGTCGTAAGCTTATAAATCTTTAATGCTCCGTCTTTCAGCGCGCCGCCGGGAAATATTGTGCGCGAACGATGAGAAAAATGTGGGTCAGACGCGAAGAATAGAATACGAGCGGGATCTTCCAGATATGAGAAGTCGCAGGTACAAAGATCCGATTGTAGTCTGCGGGGCGGTTTAAAGAGCAAAAGATTGGAGACTATCAGAAACGACTTAGGAAGCTTGAAGGAAAACTTGAAAGAAGAATCAAAGGCCGATAGTCCAAACGCGCGAAAGATTAGAGAATACAAAGAAGTTCAGAAGTCAAAAAGTGTTGTGGAATTTCGCATAAAGCTAAATCTGACATTATTTAAAATTTTTCAAATAGTTTACAATAAATCAATAATTTTTGTCGATAAAAGCTATTTGTCTTCTTTCGCCAATTAACTTTCCAAAATAGTTATCAATATAAATGTTATTCGACGTCTAATTTTTCAGGCAAAATTTATCTTAATAAAATTTTAATTCAAGACTTTAATTAAAAGGCTTATTTCAAAATGGTCTTAAATTTATATCTTTACAAATAAACATAATGGACTTGTAAAGGTTTTATTAATTGTGTTCCAATTAAAAAAATGTAAATTTAAAATATTTTAGACAAAAAATCTATTTAATTAACAAAATACCTAATATTAACAATGAAAAAATTATGGAAGAGAAAGTCCATGAAAAATACTTGCCATAAAATATTTTACAATTTATTTTGGAAGAAGTCTGTACGACGCGTATCAGTTGTGTGAACGTTTGTTATCGATACGTGTCGCGTACGACAACAAGGATAACAAAAGATGTCCGTAAGCAGGTGCTACACGAGTATGGAGCGAATACTTCGCGCTAAAAGCAAAATGTCATTCGCATAATGCGAACGCTTCCCGCTGGCGAACGCTTTTGTGCCGAAAGCAGCATACTCGATTCGTTTTCATTCGCATTTATCACCTATCGGGGGTCGCGCACGTATAAAGGGAGAAGCAAAATACACTCGGGACGAAGATGGAGAACGGGCGAAAGCATTTACTCTCCGCAAAAGAAAACGCGCGGAGGGAAAAGATATTACGTATACGACAAGGATCTTCAAGCCGCGCGAAAATTCGCAGCAGCATCTTCTCTATCAAATTTTGGAATTCTTGATATTTTAAAATAAATTAGAAATCAGAAAAGGTAATGTAAAATTTACCTTAAATTAAAATAACTAACAAAATATCAGAATAAAAACTAACCCGGCGATTATAGGATTTCGTATTTATTTTCATGCAAATATTAAATTAATATGTTATTAATTAAAGTTTTCATTTTACTTATTAAATAAACAATTTACAATCCAATAAATAATATCATGAAGATCTCAAAAACTTACTTCTTCATTGCATGATATCTTTTACATATTTATCAGTAATTCATATATTACATGTACAACATATACACAGAAATGTGTATATTGTATAAAAATTTTTAAACAATATTTCGTACACACAATAAAAAAATTCAGATGCATTCAAGAGAAAAATGTGTCAAGTAAATCAATAAAAATTCAGTAAACACATACACACATTCACAGGAAATAAATATATTTTATTTGCTGAAGAAAGTATTAAAAAATTCAACAATACAGATAAAAGATGTATTTCGACAAACTATAAATGTAAACTTTAATTGACATTTAATTAAATTCAAACTAATTTAATTTCAGATAAAATATTTTCTATTTTAAAAATTTTCAGAAATATTGTTTTATTCCTTATATATTGTTTTATTCCTTCAAAATATTAGAGATAATGCTCAATTTGTTTTAAGGTTAAGGCATCTGAATTTTTGTTTTGCAGTGTACGTGACGAAAAGATGCAGCAAGACTCACCATTCGATGCTCCGGTATCCCTTGAGGCAGCAGTGAAGAGCCTTGAACGCACCCACGTTGGCATACTCCGTGGTAACGACCTCCTTCGTGAACCTCAGGCCACCAGGTAGATGATCGAACTTGTGTATCGAGCAATAATCCTTCAACTCGTTGCCGTGGCCGATCGTCGACAGCACCGCGAGCGCAACGATAGCGTGTATAACCGTCGAAATCCTCATTTTCGCGTTCATTATTCACCACTCTGATTCGTCTAATCAAACACTCCGATACACTCGCGCACACCGCGTTACGATACTTCGCGATTTGTTTCCTTCGAAACTCGGCGTTTCGCCCGAGACTCGCAATCCGTGTCGCGTGAGATTCACGACGTCACGCTGTCGAATTCACCACCGTCCGCACCAGTTTTCGCGATAATACGCGCATCGTCGCGCCATCGAAGCTCGCAATTCACACCGAATCGTCGGCAATTCGCAGTCCGCGTCATACGAGCGTCTTTCCGGAATCCACGACTTGAACTCGCGATTTCAACGACTTGTTGTACGCAAAATGGCAGTGAGACACGTGAAGTCGCTGCGTAATGACACCGCACCAAAGTTGGTGGTCGCAGTGCGCCACTCCGAAAACTCTAAAACTCTGAACTTGCCGAGGCGCGAATTCGACGGCGTTCGCGCGCACTTGTAACGGTCGCGACGAAATGTGATTCAGCACAAATGTGATTCGCGGCAGCCCGGGTATACCGTATCGCCGGCGAATGGCAAACAATGCACCGATGCTCGAACCGCGGGACAAAATGCTCTCGGAACTCTTCACGACGGAAGGCGAGCGTATCCGCCGCTTGTTTGCTGTCAAACACGGCGCTCTGCCGGGGACGCGTTTACCTGGGAACGTTAAACACTCGAAACATCAGCGCTTCGCTTCCTTTGGTCTCCTGTCTCTCGCCCGCGCTTTACTTGTCTTCAGTGGATCGAGACTTCAGTCGACAGCTCGCTTCATCTTTTCTGTCTGGAGGCGAGACTTCTCGGCTAATATTTGCGCGAGACGGCTCACGCACCGCTTTGTGTCCAAGTGCGGCGTATATTAACGAACACTTGAGATCGTATGCCTCGTCTACGCCGGCCGCTTTGATGGGGAACGATGATATCGCTCGAAGACTGGTACTACACGACGCGGAATACACTATACCAAACTCAGTGCACACCCCACGGCATCCGACGACTCACTGACTGGCGCGTAGCGGCGTTTCAAATGAGCTGCCTGTTGCCTAAGTTGCCTTGCGTCGTTTCGGTCGACCTCGGCATCGCTCGGTCGCGCTCGCGGTGCCGGCCGGCGCGTGTTTATACACAAGCAGTGGCGACAAGCGGACCCGAAAGAGAGAGTTTGTCTTATAAATAGGCAAACGAGTGATTGCTGTCGCGGAAACCACGCAGATTGAATTCCACTGTTACGAGATAATTATTTCGAGGCACAGTTCACGAAGAGGAATCAGAGCACGAAGAACGTAACATGGAATATACGTGTGTCAATTTTAATTTTTCTTCTCTTTCTCTCATTTTCTTGTCATCACGACTCGAGCTTTCTCCCTTTCCGAGCTTTATTTTTGAACAATGAATTTGTTTCATTTACAACTGCAGTGACAAATCATATAATTATAGTTGTATTATTAAATAACGCGATTTCTGTAATTTTCTAGTACTTTAGAACGAAATTCAGAGTCAAACTTTAATGATAAATTTCGAGTTGACATTACTGTCGTCAAAAATGTCGATAATGTCGTAAAAATTTTGAAAACGGATTATCAGTTATCATATTATACTATTATCGACTAAAACTTCTGGGAACGTTATCATTTATCACTATCTCAGATATCGTTTCGTACGATTATATCTTATATATATATCAGTTTTATACAGTTATGGCAAAATTGCAATTGAAGAATATTATTTCAAAGTAAGAAGAATAAACTCTTAATAATTAATATTATTTCGTTATTACTTAATTCGAAACACAAATACTTAATAACGGTTGTCTGCTTGTCAGTTATAAATAAGTGTGAAAGAAATACTTAACGGGAATTATATTGCCAAAACAGATACGGGCAGCATTTCCCAGTATTCTGCACATATCTGTGTTGCTAATGACTTTCTGAGAACCGGTATCACGCATGACTTTACTTTTCTAGCCATTATCATGAGAAAAAAAACGGTAATATAAATTATAACAGAATTATTCAACACATGATATACATAAAAAAGTCATTTTTTTTAAATAAAGCTCAGAAATGGAGAATTTGCAACGTGAAAATTAGAGGTGAAAAGAGCGAAAAACAGAATTGATATAACAAGTAAAATAACGGATGGATCTAAAGGAATATTAAGGTGAGTGAAAATAATAATTTTTAAAATATAGACTAGTATATTTTATATATTGAATGAATAATGAATATTGAAATAATTTAATGAATATTGAAATAATTACAAATAATATAAATACTTCTTGTTTTTAAATCACTAATAAGTGATAAATCTGTAATAAATTCTGTACGGTTTTCGTAAGAAATATAACATTGTTAAAAACTATAAATTAAGAATTAATGAAAAGGATACAACTCTTCGAATTGATACAATTAAACATATAACATAAAGCTTACTTAGAGCCAGAGCTAGGTTTTGGTGCTCAAAATTCGTTATGTATTATTTTGTTGCAATAACATAAGAAACAAACATTTCGGCCTTAAGGATTAAGCTATCTTTAGTGTATACATTAAACTTGTGAGATGCAAACGCAATAAAATAAAAATAAGCGTTAGAAAATTTTTGTATAATATAAAATTTATATTATGTAAAATTGTATTATATAAAAAATTTTCTAACACTTATTTTTATTTTATTGCATTTGTATCTCACATCAAGTTTAATGTATACACAGATGGCCTAATCTTTAAGGCCGAAACGTTTATTTCTTATGTTATTGTAACAAAATAATACATAACGAATTTTGAACACCAAAATCTAGCTCTGGTTCTAAATAAACTTTATATTATATGTTTAATTAGAAACACTAATATATAACATGCAATAATAAAAATATAATTTAAATATATAATTCGAGAAATACAAATTTAATGAGTTAGCAGCATTATAATTGCACACTAATTTTTCCTTAATACTTCCGTGATATTTTTCTAAACATAGCGCATAATCAGGAAAGTACGTAACATTGCAGTGTAGCATAATATTACGTGTGAAATGACATTGAACTTTTCAAAACCCACCCGGTATAAAGAGATATAATATCGCGCGAGAGAAATGTTGGGATACTGGCGCGTCATCAGACTCGTACAAGCACAATTCCGGCCGTGCTGTCGATTCGCCGAAATCTACATCGCGCTCCCGGCGCGATTAGACAGTCTGGTGCACTCGTTGCGCATTAGCAACACGTTGTCGTCGTTTGCATTCCGGGAAAGTCTTGCGATCTCGCTCCGCTGTCTCTTCCTCGCTCTCGTGTTGCTTGGCACAGCATGCCGTTGCAGTATCCACGAACGTCAAAGAGCAGTATTTCGAATAAAAATGCAGCTTTACTTTCTGTAGCTTTTAACACATGTTGCGTATTGTTGTTGTTTGGTGCTCATAAAATTTGTTTAAAAAAAAACTTGGTATCTCAGTGCTATTGATGCAGAAACGTTTCTTGAAATCCCTACTAGCTATGATTCAATTCTAACTACTAGTTAAAATTAAATTTTTATCAAAACTGCGGTGAATAATGAAATATTAAAATCAAAATCAAAATATTATTAACCAGACGTCATGAAAATTCAATTAAAGTTAGTAAGAATTTCTTTTTATATAAGTTTGTCGTTCATTTTTTCAAAATTGCTTTTCTCTCTACAAACTTTATTCTTATTTCAATTTAAAAATAAATTATCTTTACATTAACTTTCTAAAAATTGGAAATTTTCCACTTAACTTTTGGTTTCAAGAACATTCTTGTTATTATGAATTTTCACATTTTATCAGAATCTTACTGAAACATTGTTTGCTAAAGTTTCGATAGAAAAACACAAAAAATATGTGATAACAAAATGTAAATTGCTGTATGCACAACTCTTTGAAATAGCAAAGATTTTCGTTGTAGCTAATCACAGGGAGCGAATACAATCAATCGTCCCATAAGAAAATTATTGACATTGTAAATAAATCTACTTGCTATAAATAAGCGTGAATAACGAGCTCATAAATAAATTTTGCACGTGCGATGCCTGATAATGACGCAGCGCGCCATTTAGTATTCATGCGGGGAAGGTGACTCATAATCTTGCCTACCTACCGCGCCGCGATATAACGGGTGAGAATAAGGTTGTCAAGTAAAAAAAACAACGATGACCACGATAAAAAACGTCCGATGGAAAAACCCGGCTTGTCCGCGGCTGTTAATTAAGCGGTAAATCCGAGAATGAAAACCAGATTTTTCATCAAGATACCGTGATCGAGATATCCGTGGATACCGGGTGTCGCTTTAGCCGCAATGTTCTTCGATAAACTCATTTATTACGTGAGCAATTTCGTAATAATTAAGATGCAGAGTAAGCATAACATGTCGTAAAAAGTTTTCCAAAAATTAGAAATGTAAAACAAATTTACATAATTCAATCTTTTATTGAAAAAAAGGATAGCTTATCGGGAAATCGATTTTTCTCACTTCATTATCAAATTATCTAGTCCATCAACTCACTGATTTTAACGATAATAATGCTATCTGATTTCAGTCTATTTTTCTCAATTTAATGCTTAATGAAAGAAATTACTGTTACATATTGCATTACATTAATAAACTATTTAAAATACTGTAGAGCACTTTTAGTAAACTATTTTTTAAAATTAATTAAACGTTTTTATACTTGCAATTAACAATAGTCTATCATCAATTGGTAGTTAGTCTCGTAAGTCGGTTAAGGCGCGTAGTACGAGAATTATCAATATACGATAAAATAATTTACTGATTAATATTTGTAGAAAAAGTTTTAGTTACGAATAATAAATCTATAAAATATAATGACGAAATAATAATGAGACATGTAACAATATTTAACGATTTTTAAAAAGAAGTTTGAAAATGACCATCTCTCGATATACCTTCTGAGACTTACCAGCATTCCGTTCAATACTGTTATCTGTACATATTTTACATGTGGAACTAACCTTTGTTAAGCTAGCACCCCCACCACAAAAAAATTAAAATAAAATATATACCAAAATAAAGTGCTATTTACCCAGTAAACATTTGATATTCTATGTATATATGAAATATCCATAATGTGAAAAAAATGTACTGTATATACTATGTACATACATATGATATACGCTGATGTAGATACATTTGTGGATATACATAAGATATCTTATAGATATACATAGAATGTATATTCGAACGAGATCGCTGCCTGTATATACATAGAATATACCTCGTGTACATTCCATATATATACATCAAACGTATATACATACGATATACGCTGAGGTAGATACATTTATGGATATACATACAATGTAAATTCGAACGAGATCGCTGCCTGTATATACATAGAATATACCTCGTGTACATTCCATGTATATACATGTAACGTACATACATACAATATACGCTGATGTAGGTGCATTTATGGATATACATAGGATATCGTATGGATATACATAGAATCAGTCATTAGTTCGTTCGCTTGCCGTTATGTGACGCATTATGCGCTATCTATCTCGTATTTAAGTTTTAATCATAAAAACTATATAAAACTAGCAAAAGGCGGGTAATAATATTGAAGTTTTCAATTTGAAGATGTAATAACTTTTTCTATCAGTTTAATATCTGAATTCCAACACAGGGAATTTAGATAAACTGATTGTTCAAAAATTGGGTAGATAAATATCAGAATGAATGAAAATTGTTTATTATTATAAAACGTACTGTATATACTATGTACATGCATAGAATGTACCTCACGTACATGCCACGAATGTGTATTGCACATCCTCGGAATATATCCTATGTACATACTGCGAACGTGCATTGCACATCCTCGGAATACACCCCATGTATATACCACGAATGTAGGTACACTGCATATCTTTGGAATATACCTATGTATGTACTATGGACATCCTATGTACATACATATGGTAATTATTTCACATACATAGGATATGCGCTTTATAAACTTTTCACATTCTT